CCCCAAAACCCCAAAACCCCAAAGTAATAAAATAAGTTCCATAAATTGACATGAAATCTTTAAATAAATTCTTTAAAAATTAATTACATCAATTATAATTCTTCTAAATGTTTAATCTCACTTCAAACACTTATTGAACAAAATTATTACTATTAACTCTATTAATATAAATAATAAATGCTAACTTTATAGATTATCCTCATACAACTGCACCTATACATTCAATTAGTATGGGGCTAGTTTGATACCTATTTTCCTTGGATATTATAAACTGATTCTTATGGTGTTGAGTTATAAAGTATATTCTTTGACAAAGCTGGTCTGATGCATGGAGTGGGTTAAATTATCGAAACATGAACTAGTTTTAAATAAGACTTTATCATGGCACTAAATAATGCTACTGTTGAATCTATCGATATTTTAGGCCAAACAAGAAATTTCAACAAAATACTCTATGATCCTCACAAGAATGTGTCAGTTGCTTATAACACTAATTCAGAAGACCTCTTATTTATAAGTTAAAGAATTAATGTTGATGGAACTCGTGAGTGCAAATTTTACAATTAATAATCAAGCAGTCTATCAATAAACTTTAATGAATAAATAATCGATTATGAGGGAAATGGAAAAATTCTATATCGATTGATTTACAAAAATATAGATGGCACTAATGGATTACTTCAGGCATATTAATGGGATTCTTAATAGAATTAATATTATTCAGCCAAGTAGCTCAACTTTATCAATAATCAAGTTAATTTCTATCCAATATAGTCAAACATAAAGTTTTTTACATCCCCTTAAATAATTGTATAGATAGATTCAAGATCTTTTGGAATGCTTGTTTTCCAAAATTTTGTAAGTTTATCTGCTGAAAATACTCATAATTATTATCTAAACTTCGGTGAGGAAAAAGTCAAAGCTTTCTCAGGAGCAATAGGTAAAATTTAATTCTTTTCAATAATGAATTAGGTACTTATTCAAACACTCAATGCATATGCCTTACTGATTATGATAATTATTTGGTTGTCTATGTCATCGACTCTATTGCTACTGATCCTTCACTTGACTAAATCGCTAAGAAACTCAAGTTTAAGTACATTAATAAATATGGAGATTAATTGACAAAAATGAATGAACCCTACTGTACAGATATATCTATGGATCCCTATTCAATAGTCATTTACGGTTTTAGCGATAATAGTTAAAATGCATTTAGAATAACTACTAATAGATTCTCACTGGGTTACTCTATTTCAAGATTTAATTTTGATTCAGTTGGCAATACTCCAGTATAATTTAGAAGTCATTTCGCAAGAAACTATGGCTATAAATATTTTGTTTTCGGATACGCGACAGAGTTTATTGATTGCACTTATAGGTTAAAAAATTCTTGAACTTTGTCTTTTGTTTTTTAAGAGGGATAGAAAAACATCCTATGTTTTACAATGAACAATTTATGGAATTTTTTTGATAGTGTAGATGAGTAGTCTGAGGCTACTTTTTAAAGATTAGTACTGCCTAATAGCTTTAGTATTATAGAAACATATGGATATTTAGGTCCTAATTTTTAGTTAAGCTTAGTGCAAGATTAATAACTCATAATTAGATTTACCTAAGAAGAAAAAACTTGCTGATAAATAGATTTCTTAGATCTTAACTAAACATACTATTTCTAAAAAGGTGTAGACTTTACATAATCAATTGTTTTCCCTATAAATAACATAGAATAATATAGAGATGCAACATATTGCCCATAATTTCTAGTTTATTATTTGTCATCACAAAATGAGCCTTCTCTTAATTTTGCAGGTGTTTCATAATTCAATAATACTCATAAGACTTTAATACTCAAAGAAACAATGGGGGATAAGTAAATTATTAATAATTTGACTATAAATGTTGAAGAGTACGGAAAATATAAAGCTGTTAGTACTACATTTTAAGTAATACTTTATTGCAATTACTCATCTTTAACATGGAAGCAAACATAATTCAGTTTTGAATGTCTGCAAGGCGAGGAAGTATTTACAGTTTTATATTCATAAATCTATCACTATACAAATAAAGATTGTGACTTATAAAAAGTACTTGAAGTAGGTTATGATTAAGATATTTATGGCATTTCAGACAAAGATAATTCCGTTATAGTACTATGTCCATCTATAGATAAATTTGTTGAATCTCATTCTACCCACTTAAATTTGATTGACTACAAAGGTAATTTGATCAAGTAAATTCCGATTGATTTAAAAATTATCCCAAAATCTCGTTATACTCCAAATTTTTAAACAGATCAAAACAAAATTAATACTGGCTTATGTAAGGTTGACAACATTGTTCAAAATTAGGTATAAATTATCGATTTTGAATTGCCTCAATGTGTGAGAGATATTTAAGAAAAGTATTAATTAAAATGTACTCTTGATGCAGGTAGAGCTGTTTCATTCACGCAGCTTTAATAAAATAAACTAAATTTCAATCCTAAATCTAGTGATGAGGGTGTATATGAAATCAATTTGAGATATACCAACACTTCTGGTAAAGTTGTAGCATTTTTTACCTTTTCTTTTAAGTTTTTGATTTCTAAAGATTTTGAGGCCAATGAAAAGTCCAATATGTGTATTGACAGTGGGAAATGCACAGTTAAGATTAAAAGTATATTTATCTATTAAAACACTTAAAACTTAGGTATTGATATGCATGGAAAGTTGAAAATTTAATTTAGCTAGAAAATCTTAAATTAAGATTCATCAAACTTCACTGAAATTTAAAATTCTCTGAAGATAAGCTTAATATAAGACTATAAAACAAAAGCTTAAATAGCAAATTATGAAATATAATCATTTGACAAGGACTGTCTAAACATATAACTAAAATTTGACTATTCTGAATAGATTTCAACTTTTGATGTAAGTTTTGATTATGTGCATTTGTTATTAGGGAGAGGATAGAATATAAGTCACTTTTAAAGATTAGAATGATTTTATAAATGAAAAGTTCTAGCATGTTGTGAAAAAAAATTAGATTATTGAGGCTATTATACCAGTTTAAACATCAAATTCTAGTAAATTCTGTTATTTCATGAACATTATAGCTTTGATGGCCAATTTTTAGAAATCTTTCTAATTATTTGGGAGTGCTATGTCTGCTGGTGTTTATATAAATATGCTATTACAAGTTTTCCTTGGATTTGCTATGAAAAGGATATGGACTCTTGTTAATACTCTATAAATTATAACTCACCTACCCTTGCTATCTTTGATGATTCCTTCAAATCTAATGATATGTCTTCAATCTGTTATTGATATCTCAAATCTAAATTTATTTCCACCAGAATTGGCAAATTTAATCCTAGGCTAAGTATCAGATAGCGTAAGCAATACTAAAAGCAGTTTTTCTGAAATGGATATCTTTAAATACATATTCTAACCAACTTACCTTTTATTATTAACTCTCAAACGATATCAATATGATAAGCTTGTTAGAACATTAATTATCAGCTCAATTTTAGCAGGAATGATCATGTTCATGATTGGACTAACAATAGTTTTACTTAAATATCTAAAGAATAGGTAAAATAAATATATTCATTTTTAAGACTGAAAAACCTATTTGAGTCTATATTGAAAATACTTTATCTTTCTACTATAATTTAATTCTTCCTAAAAAGCTATATTAAGAATTATCTAAGCATTGCTCTTCAATTTAAACTTGTAAGAAATTAGTTTTATATAACTCTTTATTAGCTCTAAAGTGAGTCTCATTATACTGGCTAGTTAATCTTATTTTGCATTTTATTTTCAGTATTTACTTTGATCCCTGGGGCAGTATTTTATTTACTTAAAAGAATATAAGATAAAGCTGAGGATGCTAAATATAAAAATATCTTTGGATCATTCTATCAAAACCTAAAATCAGAAGATAAGGCTAGCTATTTTAACGTAATTATATATTTGATTAGAAGACTGCAATATGTACTTTGCATAGTATTTTTGGGTGATTACCAGGGCATTCAACTTTAAGTATAAATAATCATAAGCTGTATTCATTTAATATACCTTATTTAAGTCAAACCCTATCAAAAATAATCTGATAACATTATTGAGATATTAAATGAAGTGTGTATTTATATAATAATGACGGGATTAATAATTTATTCAGACTTTTACTAGGACATTGAGATGAGATTTAACTTTGGCTATGTAATTTTGGCTATTATATTGATAATGATCATGTTTAATTTCACAATTTTTTTAACTACCACTCTATAGTAGGTCATTCAATCGGTTATTTTTAAGTTAAAATAGATAAAAAATAAGCGCCTTTAAAAGTACTAAGAAATAAATCCATATGAAGGAAGAAAAACCTTAGATAACTCTATTATAGATGAAAATAATTAAACCAGGTCTAATTTTTATGAAATAACCTAAAATCAACTAGGTGATTATGATGCTACAGATTAAGAATACAGTTATCATATTAGCCAAGAGAGCAAAGCCCAGCAAAATTAAAATTAAAAACATAGTGAGGAAAGTAAATTCAAATTTAATCCAATATTGAGACAAATTTTACAGGATTAAAAGAGGTAAAAACTTATAAAAGTCTTTTAACAAAAAGATCTTAAAGAATAAATTTAATCAATTGATTCATAGTAATAGAAGGAAAAATTAAGTAGCCAAACTAACGAATAATCTACTCAAAGCAGCTTTAAAAACTTATTATAAAAATTTAATAGAAGAAGGAAACAGTTCCAGCAGTAATTATGATAAGTAAGAAATTTATATAGAGAAAATTATAATTTTGCTATTTTAAGGTATATATTTAATTAAAGCTATTGATAATTATTTAAACTTGCATAATGTAACATTAGATGGCCCATGGGGTTTTGGGGTTTTGGGG